ATGAGAATTTTGAGATCAATCGAATGGTAAAAACGAGAGATATTGGCTCTGGGAGATTGGCATCAAGGTTGGAGAAGTACCCAAGCACGTTTTTGAGATTATCGTCTATTTGGTAATTCCGATCCTTTTCAAAACTTTTGTGCTTGTTTTCAACTTAGTTTTTAAGAAGTATGCAAAATTTTAGTTAAGATCCACAGTTCATTCATTAGTTATTGAGGTTTGAAACTGTTGTAGGAATTACTAGGATTTGCTTAAGATTCGGTTTAGAATTTAGAGTTTGGTTAGGGTTTCATTTAGGATTTGGTTAGGGTTTGATTTAGGATTTTGTTAGGATTTAGGGTTTGGTTTAGGATTTAGGATTTTATTTAAGATTTAGGGTTTGATTTAGGATTTAATATTTTATTAGGGATTTTTTAGGATTTAAGATTTAATTAGTTTTGGCCTAGAGTTTGAATGAAGTCCAATAGGATTTTAACTAGGATTAAATTAAGATTGAATTGAGATGTATTTGAGATATATTTGTGATCATTCTAATATTTCTTTAAGATTTCTTATTGTTTCTTTGAAATTTCTTTGAGGTTTCTTTGAATTTGATTAAAGCTTGCTTAGCATTATTATGGTCTAATTAGAGTTTAGTTAGTATTCTATTAGAATTAGGATGTTGTTGTTGTAATTTCCATTCTACCTTCCACAGCTAAGTGCCCGAAACATTCTCAAGCAAGACTTCATGCATTACAACATATTTGGTGAAAGAGAGAACAAAGACTTTTTTCAAACTAAATAATTAAATATTATAATAAATAGTACAATTGCTAAAAAGAACTTCTTAATTTAATTTTTTCATGATTAATCATTCTTAATGTTGGTTGAAGTTATAAAAAAAGTTAATACATAAGAATCATAAAACCTTGCATGCATTCTACCATCTATACTATTCTATTTTTTAATTTTTTAATTTTGACACAATTATAAGAAATTTATAGTTTATATAAAATAAAACTAAATTTAAAAAAATATATATGGCAAAAAAAATATCAACTTAAAAGAGGATAATCTAAAACCTCTAAAACACTTTGATTTTTTTTAGAAATTAAAGCTAATTTATTCTTTATCAAGAAAAATCAAGCATTATTATTTTACATATAAATCTTAGCAAATTTTAAAGAACATGAGTCTAGATAAAATCCAAAAGATAATACTTTCATATATTAATAAAGAAATAAAATACTAAGAAAAAAAATTACATGTAAGATAGAAAAGAACTAGAATTGCTATTGTCAAATACAAAGATACTAGAGAATCTAATATCAAGAGTAGAGTATAAGAAAGGCTTTGACAAGATTGAGAATGGTCTTTTATTGGATATTTAAATAAATACGATATAAAAAATATACTATAAATATATCTAAATTTTACTTAAAATTTTAAAATATGTGATAAGAAGTAATTATTTTTTACTATAAAAAAAATATAATTATTAAAATTAAAAAATTAAAATCTAGTTCATATACAAAAATTAAAGTAAATTTAATAAAATTATAAAATCTAATTTTTTTATAAATCCAAATATGAACTATAATTATTTATAATAATAGAGTTGTTTTTTAAAACACTTTCAAATTATGTAAAATTTTTATTGATGTTTTTATTAAAGAAATTTTTATATAAAATAAGATATTATATAGATATAAAATTAATAATTTTAATAGATGAAAAAATACTATATTTCAATTTTTTAAATTTAATTTTATAAATTTCTAAACAAAAATATCAAAAATCATCAAAAAATAATATAAAATAAAATATTTTAGTATCTTAAATTTTATAAAAATAAAATTTATTCTAAAAAAAATTTAAAAATTAAATTAAATTATTTACTAAGCAAACACAATATTAAATAAAAATTATTAAAAATATTGCATTTGCTTATTGATATGCAAGCTAAATGTGATCTTACTTCAAATACAATATAATATTAAATCACTATTGAAAGATATTAAAATTATAATAAAATAGTATCATCTTTTTATCTTGTATATAAAAAAATAAAATTAAAATTAAAAATAAAAATAAAGACAAAAAAATATCGACTTAAGTAAATATAATAAGGCTTTAAATATAATATTTCTTAAAATAAAAAATATAACAAATTAAATATTTATAAAATATAAAGCTAATATGTGTATTATAATTTAAATCTTAAATATTTTAATTATATATTAAGTTTATAAATACTTGATTTTAAAAAAAAAATTATAAAATATTATATAAAATAAATTTATAATTAATTAAAAAATATATATTTTTTATCAAATATATATATCATAGTGTTGTATAAAAAAATAGCTACTAGGTGAAAATAGAAATAAAATATTTTATAATAGAAGAGCCTAATCAAAAAAATATAATAAAAAAACACATCTAAAAGATAGGCAAGTAGTAAAATCTTTGTACAAAAATGAATTTTACTTATTTTGTATAGTGATAAATAAGATTAAATAAGATAAATTAAAAAATAAAGGATATAGGAATATGTGAAAGGCATATATAAGAAGAAGTTAGGAGTTGATTTTAGCAAAAATTACCTCAAAAAAACAAGAAATGATACCTAGAGAGGATTGGTTGCCAATTAGGGCCAAAATCATTTCTTGAAGCACAAAACTATATACCTATGCTATTTTTGGGATTCTTTGGTTGATTAAAGAGTGGAATTTAAAAGAAAACCTATGAGAGGATTTTTGAGAGTTGATTTCATGTGATTTGAAGATATATTGAGGTTTTGAGAGCTTTTCAAAGTTAGAAATTTATTCTATAGGTTTGGAATTTTAGAAATAAAAAGAAGTTCACAAATTTAATGATTTTGTGAGTGTCACATCATATTTATATGTGAAAAATTGTCACTTGGTTAATGTGTTTGTTGTAAATATATGTAAATTTATTTATGTCAATCAAATAATTAGATTGAAGATTATGGAATTTTTTTTGGATTATGGTCTTAGATTATTGAAATTTAGGATTAGTAAAGATTTTTGCAATCTTACAATATTGGCCAATTTGATTGAAGAAAAAATTGGTAAGAGAAATTTAGACTTAAATACCTACACACCAATCAAGTTTTGGAGCAATTAAACAATTTTGCAAGGAGAAATCTATATTGAAAGATCAACATTCAAGTTGGAAAAGGAAGCTGGCCAACCTCCTAAAAGTTTTGGAAGTTTTACTTTCAATTGGTGAGTTTGATTCTTTTCAAATTTTGTATGATTGTAAATTACTTGTAGATTAAAATCTGGATGTAATTTTACTCAAAATCAACAATTTAATTATTATTTATTGAGGTTTCAAAAAAGCTATAGTAATTTATTAAGATTTGTTTAGGATTTGGTTAAGATTTAGTTAAGATTTAAGATTTGATTAGGATTTGATTAGGATTTGATTAGAATTCGGTCTAGGCTTTGATTAGGACCTTATTAGGATTTTATTATGATTTGGTCTAAAATTGGTTAAGATTTATTTAAGATTTCATTAGGATTTGTTTAAAATTTCATTAAAATTTGTTAATGGTTACATTAAAATTTGGTTAGGATTCAATTAGGATTTCCATTTTTAATATTCTTTTAAAAAAAATTTGATATTTCTTTAGGAATTTTTTATTTTTTATATATATATATATATATATATATATATATATTTAATTTATGATTTCTTTATGTTTCTTTTGTAAATTCTTTAAGATTTTTTTGGAATTTAATTAAAGATTGATTGACATTGTAATAATTTAATTAGAATTTGTTTAGAATCCTATTAGAATTGTTGAGGTCTTATTGTTGCAAGTTCCATTTTACCTTCCACAGTTAAGTATCTTGTGCATTCTCAAGCAAACTTCACAAAACACAACAACAAACACACCAATACTAATAAAGATTAGAGAAATTAGATAGAAGTAGAAATAAGTAAATTTAATATTATCTTTTGGAGTAGCTTCTTAAAACCTCTATGGACATGGATTTGAATTTATAAGCATTTGTTGGTAATAAGTAGGTTAAAAACTTTGCAAACAAATTGGCTATGTATTGGACATGTTGACAACTTGATTTGCAAGTTGGTTAGTTATTGCTTATATTAGTCAAATGTTTTATAAGTTGACCATGTAGCTCACATGTTAGAATCTTGCATTGCATATTTAACACATGTCCCATAAGATAGACACGTCTTAAATGACCTATAGAATATCACTCCATAGCACTTAGTTATATAATATATATGTAGGCAAGAATAAGGCATTCCTCACTCTTGTCAATGCCTTTCTAATGTTTTTGTCTTGGCTCAAGAATTTCTAGTTTCTTTGTATTTGGCAATAGCCATTCTAGTTTCTATCTTACATCTATCTTTGATTTGTCTACTTTCTTACTTTGAGTGTTATAAGAGTATATTGTTTCTTTAGAATTTATTATGATTCATGTCTTTGACTATATATTATCTTAGACTTAATTTCCAAGAATATAAAAAATAATTCATATAACATATATTCTGTAAAAAATATAAGTAATAAATATATATATATATATATATATATATATCAAACCATATATAAATATATCTTATATTATTTCTTCATATGATACTTGTTAGTAGATGAGAAGCTTAAATTATCAATACTAATTTTGATAATTTTTCACAATTTTTAAATTTTCATTAGAGATCATTTCTAAAAGCTTGATTAGTAATTTTTCTTCATCATATTATTGAAATATTTATGTAGCATAATTTTTTTAAACGTTTTTAAAAGTTAAAAATAAGATCAAACATGTCAGTTGTAGTAAAAATAATAAATAAATAAATAAAAACTTTAACAAATATAATCAAAACAATAAAAATCTAAATTAACAGAATAAATAATAATTAGTTTAAAAAATTGTATACTTAGATTCAAGTCAATGACTTATTCCATTCTTATTTTACATAATTCATATAACATATAATAATGAATTTGAATCGAGAGAAATTGTGCAATAAGTCCATCAAGTGACCATGAGACTTCCAAATTCATTAGTCATCAAAACATGGACAGGAAGGACACTTTTGAACCCGTCACAATTATCTCATGTTAACTCAATCCCTACTCGGTCTTTTCTCACTCTGACAATCCATATCCAGATATGTACAGAAGAGTACAACTGACGATCTCCTAGCAACAGTGCAATCGTCAGGGTCCTTGTCAATACACATGACACAACATTGTCTTTTTGTAATATCAAGGCAGACTTGCAGATTCATGCCCTGCTTTCTTCAAGCAAATTACCTGTTTCGAACACCGCCACTAGTTAGCCAGCAAATATATATATATATATATATATATATGCTTAAAAATAAATGAGCTTAGAAACATAATGAAAAATAAAAACATAAAATCAAAAGGCAGATATAACTAAATGAAAGGGTTCTGAGAGTTCATGTACGCTCGGCGACCCATTCTGTGTTATTAGTTACTCATTTCGATTTGCTTACTAAACAAGTCTACATGTTTACTGTACATGCCAGCTTCCAAGTCAAAGCTTTGATTGTAGCGGAATGGCACGTAACTAATACCAGAAAGAAGTTTGGTAAATTGAAAGAAAGAGGAAATCAAGTAAAGTTACGATTTAGATTATTTGTATAGAGAGTCCAATATAAAGTTGAAGTACCTCAGATGGTTTTCCTATGCTCATCGATGGCTTGTCATCGATCAAGAAATACTCCTTTGTGTAGTAAAAAGGGCCAGCCAGAGAAAGCCTTCAATATCAAGCCGTTGGGCCTAAATATCCGAAAAGATTCTCCTCTTGCTCATGTTTTTCTCCGTCTAAAACAATGATTGATACCATTACTCGGTCACTTGTTAAGATTAGAGTCATTTCTTTAATGCGTCCCACTCCTCTTGCAATTCCCGTGCTTTCTGCAGCTTCCTGACTCTCCCGTAAGCTTCAATTAATGTGGTATATGTAATACCATCAGGTGCGACACCTTCCATCTTCATCTCCTCAAACAGTTTCTCCATAGCCTCAAAATCTAGGGCCCTCCGATGAGCATCAATAGCAGCGTTGTACACGGCAGTATCAGCAGCATTATAATGTCGCACTTGCCGCATGATTTTCTCAATTTTGTGCCATTCTCCATGTTTACCATAAGCACTTAAGATAGAAGAAAATGTGATACAGTTAGGTTTCAAGCCCTGAGCTTTCATTCTCTTGAAAGCTGTGTCCATTTGCTCAATCTTTCTAGCTTTACCATAAATTTCAATAATTATGTTGTAGGTTACCGTTGTCATTGGATAACTGTACCTCCGCATGAAATCAGTCACGCACTCCATCTTCCCGTACAAGCCCGCCCTCCCGTATGTTCCTATAAGACTGTTGAGAGTCACTTCATCGGCCATTAAACCTTGCGCAAGAAGTCCCTCATAAGCTTGCTCCATTTCAGGTATTCGGTTATGCAGCCCAAAGACTCGTATCAACGTGTTCCATGTGATTGTGTCTGGCGTTATACCGTTTGCCTCCATCAAAGAAAGCAAATATTCAATCTCCGCAAACAAACCGGCTTTCCCATACCCAAAGATAAGGGTATTGTACGTGACAATGGTTGGCTCAACACCTTCTCTCATCATCTCATTAAATAACTTCTTCGCTTGATCATAAAGCCCCGCATCGCAACACCCCTTGATCATCGTGGTGTACGCGTACTTATCGGGTAAACATCCATCAAATAGTCTCATCTGCTCAAAAACTTCGAAAGCCTTCTTCAGGAGGTTGCTCTTCGTAAAGACAGTAATCAAAGCTGTGAATATCTCAAGGGTGGGCCGTAACTTGTCCTGCAGCAAGAAGTCAAAGAGGTTTGAGGCCGCTTGGGGCTGCTTGACCCTTGCTAACATAGTCAACAGTTTAACATAAGTGGACACTTCCGCAGTGTACCACTCTTGTATTCTCACAAGCTCGAATACCTGCCACGTTGAGCCATCTCTTCACAAACATCATTCAAAAAGATGATTCCCATGCACGCCCTTAACTGTCAATCGTCAAGGAAAAGCTTTTGATAAGCCAAAAAACAAGTTTCTACAGCTGCAATGTAGAGCTTATTCCTAGCAAAAGACGTTGGAAGGTAGCGAAGCCGTACCCTCAAAGCAGACTCCCATTCATTCTGCTTGATACGCACATCGAGAGATTCCAACAATGCACGAGGATACAGCCTCTTTGAACCTTTGGCCAACGCTCTCCTCTCAGTGGCTTCGTTGCTCCGCTCTATTCTCATAACCACTGTATCGGCCGTTCTGGCAGCTCGTCTCTTACTCCCAGCTTCTTGCAAAATGGAATTTGGAGTTTCTTCTGAGCCACACCGCACAGAGCCCCCTCTTCTTCTCTCTCTACATATGCACAATCCATAGCCAAGCAACGTATTCGAAATTACATCTCCAGATATGAACCTACGCATCCCGACGTCGAAAGCCGAAATTCCGCGGCCATAACAATGAATTTCGGTACCTGGTTGGAGAAAAGCTGTGAGGCACAAATCCGAGACCAAGAGAGGCGGTACAAAGTTTAATTGAGACACCACCGATACAATCCAAAACATTTCCGCAAAGAATTAGAAGTAGCGAAAAAAATCTTGAAAAATTGCAAATCTCACCGGCACTTCACAATTTATCTATAGCACCGCATAATGTGAGTGTACCTGCTACTCGTGGTTCCATAGCCATGGACAGCAGCTTAACCACTCAATCAAGGAATTAAAGTTGTCAAGTAAATAGGGCCCAAGGAAGGTTACCCACCTGCTAACTCCATATTCTACCAGACATAGCCGCACTGCCTGCCTGCGCAAGCTTCTTCTTCTTCTTCCTGCACAACGCAACCCTGGGTCCTCGTCCTCCTGCTCCTGCTGTGCGAGCTCAGATCCCCAACAACAACGCCTGGTCCCATGAGGAATTAATTAATTCTTTGCAGAAGCAATCAGTGACTCACAGGAACCCACTTTCAGAAGAAGAAGGATATCCGTTCGGAGAACTGGCTATGCATTCAGCGATGGGCTGGGATTGAGTTGGGTTGAGATGATTTGAGTCGGCGGATGATGTGGTGTTGGGGGTCACCGTGCTGGGTGTGTTTGGTGCGAGTCACAGAAGAAGCACGGTAATACATTCCTTATTTGGTTGAATTATGGATGAACAATCCATTTAATTAAAAGAGATGGCCTCACTATCTAAGATTATAAGAGAAGAATGTGATATTATTATTAGAAAAATATGCCGTAAAGATTTTTAGGAAAGTAGACAAAAACAAGTATATTCTAATGATAAAAGATAAAAATGCAATGAAGTAAGAACAATTGGCTTTTAAATTATAAATACAATTAGATTGGAGCATTTGCATTTTATATTTTTTTGGCAAACACATGTGTGTACTTAACAACAATATAAGTGAATCTATAAGAACCATGACAAAACTCAAAGATTACCTTTGCTAGGTAAGTGTTTTGAAAGCCACTATTTTTTAAATTAGTCAAATCTTTGAATTAATAATATATAATAAAATTGACTAATTTAAAAATAATATTTAATATTTTTAGTATATGTATTATAGTAAATAATTTACACATTATAAGTCAAGATAAGTGTATTTAAACTTATAATAATGACATTAAGAAGAATTTAAATGAATATTAGTATAATATTAAATTAATATTGTTATTAAAGAATTGAAGTATATCGCAATTTTTAGACTAAGTAGACTTAAACTTATTGTATATATTTAAAAAATAATCTTTTGAATCAACTTAAAAAATAAAAACTTGGCTTAAATTTAATGATTGGAATAAGTATTTTTTATAATGTAAGCATCTGCATATACTAAAATATCTATTATAAATAATTATTATTACTATTAATAATAATATCTTAAATCAACAATAATATCTAAAAGTAGAAAATTTTGCAAGAAAACAATAATATATATATATATATATATATATAGCTTAATGTATAATATATAGCATTACTTCTTTTAATGAGGTTTTAAATACTAGATAAGAAAAATACATTAAAATTTGAGTAATTATAATGAAATAATAATAATTTGAATTATTAGAAAAAATTGCATGATTTTTAATTCTATTTAGAACTAATTTTTAGACTAGTTCTAATAAATGTGTAAGAAAATAACACCATACATGCAATAAAATAAAATAAATCATTTTACTTTATATTTTCTTTTAAAAGAATTTAGATTTTACTTTCCAACATATAAAATCAATCAAATAGAACTTCAAATTATAACTAATTGAAAGATTTAAATAACTTTGCCACTTGCTATTTATTCCTAAACATAAAGATTTATTTAATAGATTTTATTAGACATTATGTTTGACACATACTAGTATTAGGGTTCTTGCTCTACTAATAAATTAATAAATAGATAGGTGCATCACAATATATTTTTTTGTGCATTGGATTTTATAATTAATTAAAAATATTTTTGCTTCAATATTATATAAAAATTATGAATGTAGTTTACCATAGAATTTTATTACAAATGTTTTAACAAATATTTTTTTCTTTTTAAATCTTTTTGTATTTAGTTTTGATTTAAAACACATAATTTCTTATGGAAAAATAAAGTATTTTTATATACATCCTTAAAAAAAAAAAAAAAAAAAAAAAAAAAAAAAAAAAATCCTTGATGTTTCATTTTTTTTAATAAATATAAAATATAAAAAGTAAAAATATATGTATTTTTAATTTTTGGCTATACATAAGTTTTGTGTCTTTAGATTTTAAGTTAAATTATTAAATAAAGAAATGTTTTCTTATGAGCTCCTCTATTAGAAATAATCAGATAAGAAATAAAATTATTTAAAATAGAACATACTTTTTGTATAAACTTCTAGAAATGTTTCTTAATGTTACAATAGAAACAATAAAATGTAATTTTATTTGTAAAATGAATTTTGTGAAAATTAATTAAGTAAATTGAATAATTTTATTTTCAATTAAAATTGAGTTTCTAAAGAAAAAAAATACTTCCCTAAATAAATAAATAACAAAGTATTCAAATATTCAGTTTTTAATTTAAATTTATGTTTGTCACAAGAAATATTGCATAATTTTTTAACATTTTTTTAAATATTTACAAATAAAAATATTAATATAGATATTTTTAAATGATCAATTTATTAATATACTTATAATCATTTAATAGAATAATTGAATCAATTTTTTTACCTTAATTAGTAAAAAAATCGATTTATCTTTTGCCATCTTTATTAAAATTATTATACAAATTTACTATTTTTTTGATCCATTCATCTAGTTTATGTTTAATTAATTGTTTATTTATTTTAATAAATATATATAATATGAACAAAAAAACTTAAAATAAAACAAATGTATAATATTAGTAGAACATCACATAATTCTATATATAATTACAAATTTTATCAAATTTTATTTTATTGATATTTGGTTCTATATAATAATTTTGCCTCTTTAATGAATCTTCTTGCATCTAAATCCTTAGTGAATATATATTTTGTATAATTTTTAAATTTAAAATTAATATTAAAATTAGATTAATTTTTTCTATCCAAAAATATGTAGTAAATAATTATGTAAGATAAATTGTTAAAATAACTATTTTAAAAGAAATATCTAGAATAAAAATCTAACATATTTTTTATCAAAAAAATGTGTCAGTACAATCTTATAAAAGATGTGTGTGTATATGTGTGAGTGTTTTTTTTTTTTTTTTTTTTTTTTTTTTCCTAATACCATCAAGTTTTTATATAGAATTTTGAAATTTCAATAACAATTTAAGAATCTTCAAAAAAATATATATTTATATATTATCATTTTAAGTGTATTATCTTTGTATTATAAAAAATAAAAATTAATACAATAGATATTCAAATAATGAAGACTTTGATCATGTCAATAATTGGTTGTTATTTGAAATTACTAAGTAGTATGTATTGACAATACCAAAGATTTGTCAAAGACCTTAATAGTTTCAATGAATTTAAATATCATTCCAATTTTAACAATTTAGATGTTATAATTAAATACTTTTTTATTTTAAAAATATTTCTACACTCAAACAAAGATTATTTTTGTTGATTCAGTATTGAAAAAGTTTGCAATAATATTTTCTTGGATGTGAAGATAGTGTATTTATTTTTCTTCATTTTAAAGAGATTTGTCTGTTTGTTTGTTTTGTTTTTGTTTTTGTTTTTGTTTGTTTTTTTTTTTTTTTTTTTTTTTTTTTTGTCAATGAAAATGAAAATCACCAAAAACATAAGTTGACTATGCTTTCTTTAGATAGAGATATAGATATATGTATATCACCAGTCAAAAACATCCTATAAAACATGCATTGAGATCCATAAATAAATTTAAAGTCCAAAAATTTACCATTGTATTTTATTACAAAAAGAGGCTTTTCATGTAATTAATGTAATAAATGCCTATATTAATCAAGTAAATAAAAGCAAATGGAACTATGTAGAATATGTTAAGTAGGTAATATCTTCCTCAAGAAACTTTGAAAAAGTTTTTAAATATAAATTAGATTTTAGAATTTTATAGATATGTCATGAAGCTATTGAATGCCAACATTTTTATATTTATTTATTTATTTATTTGTATTCTAGTATTGATTCAGGACTCTCTAGGTTTTCTATCATTGATAGTAGCCATTATAAATTCTTTCTATATATATATATATATATATATGTGTCTAGCTTATTTGTCTATTTTTTCTCTTTTAGCAACATAACAATATATTTGTCCTTTCAAAGATTTGTTTTGACTTACATTGTTTACACCTTTAATTGATTATCATCATTGAGAATTGTGGCCTCTAATCCTCTCTTTGAAGCATAAATACACCCTTAAATTGCTATATTTATAAACTTAAAACTTTTTACCTGTAAATAACACAAATTTGGTGCTAAAATCATGTAAATTATACTAAAAAATCCCTATTCCAAATTCCTAGTATATGTACTTTTTACAATAAACCATTCAAACTAGCGGACCATCCACAAAGCTAAGTTGTTGCAGAGTAAACCCACTTAAAACTATTCAACCAACAAACTTGCTCAATTATTGCCTTATACCATCCACTGTAAACAATCATTTAGGTCTCATTGTCACTTTGTTAGATTTTCCTATAACAAAACCCACTTTTTTATTTTATTTTATATTATTACATCCTTCTCAGCTTCGACGTTTCAAGCACAGGGAATTTGAATTTAGGGTTTGTCGTTGGTTGCATTGGAATCGTCGCCATGCCAATCGGAGCCCGAAGCCACATCGAATTTCTCCCACATCAGCATCGTTTCTCGCCATGTCACCGCAAACAGGAACCAACCACGAGGCTCGTGATTGCGCTAGAGAGAAAATCCGAAGTTTCCCTGTGCGTTGCGAATTCTTGGAGCAGGAATCCGTCTTCCAGAGGGGATTTGTTCCAATACATTCATCATCGAGGTTGTGGATCAGTCCGCATCCATCCAAAGCAGAAAATCGCAATGTACAGACAGACTTACTGAAAAGCTCAAACAAGACGGACCTGGATGGAGCCAAGAGTGCCCGGGATGTCGCCTCCTCGCTCGCTCACAACGACAGACCTGATGATGCTTGCATGAGCAGCACCGCCACCGTTTCCCGCTTCCTAGCGCAACAGGGTCTCTAAGATTGTGAGAGACCACTGGAGCCTGCTGGGCCTGTGTACGTTCCAACGATGCCCGAATCGTTCCCCGCATTCTCTTGCCACTGATCGTCGAATGGGTGCTCGATTTGGTTTCGGGGATGGCAAATGCGAGTTTGGCTCGATGTGGGTTGTGGTGGCAATGTTTGCCTTGTCGTTGTGAAGGGTTGTTCTTTGACGTCTAAGCTATGTGGTTTTGTGTTTACATCGGTTGCGCATTATGTGGAGTTTTGCTTCTGTAGGTGTTGGTTTCAGTTCGGTGCTCTAGCTAAGAGTTTTGCTGGTCTTTGCCGGCAGCGTGTTTCAGTGATTTCGGTTATGAGGGCGTTGAATGCAAGTTTTTGATGTGGCGTAAGCTGGAGCTTGGGGTGGGTTTGTTATTGCTGTGGATTTTGTGATTGAACGCATCAAATTCACCGTTTGCAGGTCTAATTTAGGGTAACAGTGGCAGCATGGTTTCCTTAGTAGGTTCGCACTTAATTGCTACTAGAATGTCGTTAATGTGTGAACTGGTAGGTACTTTTGACTTCGCCTTACACCCCTGTAGTCGATGCGGATCTAATGTCTTTTACCGCTTGATGGGTAACACTTTCAAAATTGTATGACGTGTTTTAATTTGCAGCCATTCTGGGTTTTGTTTGACATTTGAGCTTGCTAATATGCCCTTCATAGAAGAGAGTCGAAAGTGAAACTGCACAGATCGTCAGTGACAGCCGGCCTTGCGTGTGTGGTCGGAGTTTTAGGGGTTGTTAACCAATTTCTTTGTTCTCTGTCGTGCATTTCTCTAAGGGCATCTGGTAAGTTGAGCTCTGTTGTAGTTGTTGTGATATATATATATATATATATATATATATATATATATCCTGTTAATGACCTTTCTATTTCGATTTTTGATTACGTGTAGCAATGCTTCTAAAGTGGATATCAATAAGATTTGTAGCCTCTAGGGTCGTTGCCCCCCTGAGGGTTGAGCCGTCTTGGTTTCCAGGAGCTGGTCTTAGTTTCATCTCCTAGCTGAAATTTTGGTTTGGGCCTATGAAAGAGACGCCAGGTGTTTGTAGGCTTATAAACTTTTTCGAGTTGTTCGTAGGTTTACAGACTTTTTCGAATTGTTTGTAGGCTTACATACTTTTTCGACTTTCAATGCTATGATTTATTTTCATGTTAAGTAGTCCGTTCTGCTGTAAACATTGGTTTTTGGTTAGCAAGTATCTGGATTTAAGGGTTTATAAATGATCAGGATTTTGTTGCTCTTTGCAGATGACACTCTATATATTGTTCGTTGGTGCAGGATCTTGCGAAGGAATATTCATGGTAGAGTTCTCCCAAGCGAAGTGTCTGAGACCGGGTGTAATAACCTGAGACCGGAAAACTTTCTCAGTGTGATCAGTTGGGATGTCGTAAGGGCACATAGTAATTTATACTGGGTCTGAGATAGTGGAAGCATATTTTGGATGCCAAGCAACAGTGCAGCTCGTGGCCTGGCTTTATAATTCCAAGTTCCTGAAATAAGTTACAAGCAGTAACATGTGGTTAGTGAGAGGCTGAAGATAGACTGCAACCCATGCTTTTTGGTTATCATCGGAATGAGGGAGAGGATTCTATTTCTATTAATTTTAGGCAGTGACAATAGTTTTTCATTCCTCTGGCAGTAAGCGATCTCTTGCTTACAGCTTTAAAAATATGGTCCTCGAGCCGATTTATCTTGACCTTAGCAGCTCAGATGATGAAGATGAAGATCCTAACTGGGACCGGAATGATGCAACCGGGCCAACAGCATTTACTTGTTTTCCGAAGGTAATTCACTCATTGGTTTCAAGAAACAGGGGAGAGATAGCATGTTTGTGTGCATCTTTTTGGACGTAATTCTGTGTTTTATTATACAAATGCTAAATTCATCGTGCTTACAACGAGTTGGTGTGGCAAGTGCTGCCCACACCTACTGGTGTAACATGTTGCAGATTACTTGTACACAGCATGGGCTCTTAAATGGTTTGGGGATTATCCTTGTTTAACAGATTTTTTTGTTTAGGTCTTCAATATGGACGTGGAGGATGATGATTTGTTTATCATCGACAAACCCAAAAGTACCGGTAAAGCGAAGAACGACAGGGAAAGAGTGATAAGAAGTGCGATTGATGACGATGAATGTTGTATTTTGGATACGGACCCTGGTGCAGTTGAGGCAACCGATATCGTTGTACCTTTTGATACAGATGAATTGGTGATGACTGGAGAAAAAGGGCCTGTAAGTATAAACAGAGACCGATTGTGTTGAGATTTTTTTCCCATTGCTACCCCCCCCCTAAAAAAAAAAAAAAAAAAAAAAAAAATTGAAACTGCTTTTAGATCTAATGCTCTTGTGTTCCCTGTTCAGGTGGCATGCAGGGATTTTCCACATGCTAGATATCTATGCGTTCACTTTCCGTTCAAGACCACCCTTCACTCCAAGTACTGTTCCCAGGTGAATTTCCATTTCAATATTCTCGTGGTGATTAAGCCATTATCTTAGTTGCATTACCATAAGTTATCGTGCTCTTGTTACAATGTTGTATATGTACTAAATTCTATCGACGGAAATCACGTACGCAGTTTGGTGTGACAGTCCATTCGTGCATTAGTCTCAGGATCTGTTGCAGATTGTTTTGCTAATCAGACTGCAAAGTTAATGAGTTATTTATATCAATGACTCAGCTTCTATTCTTGCTCAACTGCATGCTTACTATATATTGTAGTAAACATTGGTGGGCTCGGTTGCAGTGTCATTGTTATGTCTGCGATTCATTAGCTCCATGTGCTCAGTGGGGCGAGGGGAACAATTCAAATGATCACTGTCATGCATCAGAGGAGCCTCGTTGGAAAATTCTACGAAAGGTTGCAAAATGTGGTACTGTTCCGTCACCTGTGCCTCCCGCGTCCGGAGCATCAGCCCAAGCGGCCGCTACACTGTCAAGTGAGCCACGCCATATGTGCATTTGTCTGCTTCCATGTTCTTACTTTTCTTTGGAAGGCGTTCTTGTATTTTTTGAGTCCATAATATTTGTTCCTATGAGTTTGAGTGCTTTAGGGTGTATCTTTTTCCATTTTATTTGGATTATTTGACTATGACTATTGATGGTCTAACTGTTTGAACATGCTGGTAAAAGTGAAGCATTCCAATGAGAAGTAAGTGCTGGATGAAGAAAGAACATTAGTAGATCCCACGAGATTCTGAGTTTGGATTGTTACATCGTGGTGACTGCACTCTTTTTCTTTTACCTTACTTCAAATGCTTTGAACACCAGCTTAATGATAATTATTAGTAGCAGTCTTTATGCTGGAAGTATTGAAACAGACTTTATCTGACAGGTATGTTCGGGGCCGAAAACCCAACGGGAGTAAGTAGACTGGCCCAATCAAACCTATTACAGGCGCACACTTCACGTTCATCACCGATTGTTCACTCGCCACTAAAGAGAGATCCTTTAATCATCAAGTTGAAGGGCAAAGCCCGTGGAAAAGCTTCTCAACTTGCTCGCCTTGGAGTCCGTTCATCTCGTCCTGATCGGCCCATACCCCTGTCTTCTTTACCAGGACATAGACAACGACCTCCTCTAAGACCTTCCTCCACGGTTCCGGAGAGTATACCAGATGAGTGTAGTAATCAGCTTCCACCGAGACCTTCCTCAACACCTTCCGATAGAGTTCAAGTTGATGCCATAGTCTCGATTCCTACACAACCTCTGCAGCTGTCTCAACCCACAAGATCCAACCCCCGCCATAATCCTAGTACTGGAAGAGTTGCAACCATTTCAGCTCTACCCCTACGATCTCAACATTCTGTGCCCACTGCTAATCCGCTTTCCAGTATAGGAGGTAAAGGTGTTGCAACTAATCAGCCACCGCCCAACCCCAATGCAGCTCCATATAATCCTTCTAGTTCTCCACGCCTGCCCAATAATTCACCACCTTACATTACGTCTCCACCTCCTGTTAGTTCGCATGATCATTTTTTGCGGCCTTCTGTTGCAGATTCCGCTGTTCCAGGCTTCGTCTCATCAGTTCCTCATATTCCTGACAGTAGGTACGTTCCTGCCAGCGCCTTGAGTGACGTGAATATGGCTCCAGTTTATGAGGATCAGAGTAGTTTACAGGCGCTTGCTGTACAGAGGCCTAGTGTCATAATCAGTTCTGATTACGTAGCTCAGAGTTATAGTAGTCCTGTGGACTCAGCAGCTCATATTGCGGATATTCTGGCGGGACCAATCGAAGGATTGGAGGTGGACGCAGTCGCTCAATTCGACTATTTCGCAATTACTGGAATCGGCGCGGTGGAATCTCCCGGTGCTAGTTGGCAGGCCACGCCATCCCTGAACGACGTGCTGGAGCAAATGGCACGTGACGATTTTCTGTGGGAGCAGTATCCTGGTTTGTAATAAACCCTCACCACTGGCATTTGGATGCACCTTGTTTGACTGGAGAACAAAAGACTGATTTTGGCGATAAGTTGATGTTCCGAGGTTTTTCTTTCGCAATTTTCGGAAGAAGACTTCATGCCCCTGCTCTCAGCTAGTTCAGGGATGGACTAAAAATGGGCGCCATGTCATCTTTCAGGTTTGTTTGTTACACTGCTCAGGTTGAAGTGAGGTCAATTTTTGCCGTATGCCACACTGATAACTTTCATTAATGCGGATTACTAACCTGCCCTCCGTTTAGGATTCCTTAAGAATAGAAACAAGGAAGATGAAAATAATCCAATCCAAGTAGCAATAAGTATGTCATTAAGCCACGAACTCTCAATGCCACTTGTAAACATACAGCAATGGCTTTTAGACACAGCGTCTCTTGTTGGGTTTTATTCAGGTCTTTCAGAGTCTGTTCGTGTTATATATATATATATATGTCATTTAAATCCAGTCTATTCCTTTACTGACGCTGGCTCAATTGTCAGATTTTTATTAGTGCACTGAAGTTCTTTACTGGCGTCTGCAGGTCTGAAGAGATCCTGGTAGTCCACTCAGCCACTTCTTCGAGCGAGAAAGGGAGCTTAGTCCATCGGTTTTGCTAGTGATTGAATTTTAGTATTTTGGCAGCAGTTCATTTAAATGAGGATGCCAGATTTGTGCAGGGCGATGAAATTGTTGGGCAGAGTAAATATCCAGTTGATTATTTTCTGCTAATGATTGACCATTCAATCCGTAATTTTGATATAAATTTAAACTCAGTGTAGCTGATAAATGTTATGCAAGTCGGTTATTGAACAACATGACAAGCATTATATACCGCTGTGGAAAATCACTCTGTTGCAACAGGTGATCTTGTTGCTTTCAATCCTTAAAATTGACCTCTGAAATTTTTTGTTTGGAGGGTTGGAGTTTTTGCACACCTTTTCCGAAGTGTACATGTGTTCTGTGAATTGCCATCAAACTACGTGTGCAATTCCTAATTCTATATCTAGTTGTTGTGCCAGCAAGCTAGGGCCCAACTCTCGGTTCTTCACTCGTTGATATGAAGGCAGTAGTGTTATTGCTTCTAGTTCAGAGAAATACACGTTATTTTCACTTCCACCTTCGCAGATATGTATTCAATCCATATAGTAGTTTCGGTTGAAGGTAAGGTTTCCTTAATCCGAGGGAGAAGGTGAAGAGTAAGATGATGTTTAAGCCAGACTGGCATGTATCTTGGTGGGTGTTGGAGGAATTTTCTTCAAACTATTGGTAGAACCCTAAAACGTTTATCTGTAACACAAGTTATTCGTCTTCACTAGGGCTGGGACTGACTCGTAGCAAGTACTGTTTAGGCTTTTGTGACGCACACATGAGCGAAACAAGTCTCACTTTCAACCCCTTCACCAAAAACTGCACAGTTCTCACGAAACCTGAACGAGAGGACTCTAGAATTTCCGTTTACATTTAAAAACTGACGACGTAAGGTCAGCTCCAGTCACGTGCTACGTATGCCCTAAATGGGAAACCCTAGCGGGGGCCTCTAAAGACCTCCCCTCCTCACAACTTTAGCCTCTTCCATTCCTCCTCGTTGTTGGAACCCTGCACTCCTCCGCTTCGTACCCACAATTTTTATCAGCAGCCATGATCTTCCGGGTTCGTATCCTGCTGACATTTTCTCATGCCGTTTCATCTCCAGAATGCCACGAACCTAATTCTGTGTTGAGTTTTGTATGTTACATCTTGGGTTTAAGTGTGTAAATAGGTTTACTGCCTTCGTTTTTTCGAGGAGGACGAGGTGTTTGTCTCAGTTGTATGTAGAAGCGATAACAGGGGTTTAGTGTTAGGAAGAGGGGCAGAGTAGTTTTAGTTTAGTTTTGCCAGGTTTAATGCAGCAAGTCGCGGCGAGCCGGATGTCGCTTGTCAGGTTCACTACCCTGACTTCCAACGGTGTGGCTTTAGTTGGGTTGTTCGAATAGCTCACGTTGGGATCTCGCGGGATGAAAATGATGTTTAGGTCAGAGGTTATCGCATCGAAGTTTTTCAGGGCCATTGACGTTTAGCTCTTGGTTTTCGTGACGCCTTTCCTTGGCGTGGTATTCACAAGTGATTTGGATTTATTTTTACAGTTTCACCAGTACCAGGTGGTTGGGCGAGCCCTTCCAACCCCGGGCAATGAGACCCCCAAGGCTTACCGCATGAAGTTGTGGGCCACGGACGAAGTGCGCGCCAAATCTAAGTTTTGGTAAGTACGTAATTAATTAATAACTTCTCTAAGATCAGGTTGGAGCGGTTTACTTTTGAAATTTCATCTATGTCTTCGGCAGTAGTACTTCATGTTTGGTGCATATTAGAGAGATATGTTGTTAGTCATTATGGAACATCGTCTTTAATGGGAGTTCTTCTTACTCCTTCAAATGCTCTAGATGTATTCTGTAACTCTAAATGCGAGGATTGTTCTTCTGTAGGTACTTTTTGAGGAAGTTGCAGAAGGTCAAAAAGGCCCATGGGCAGCTTCTTGCCATCAATGAGGTATTTTGCAGTGCGTAATCAACGTTTTCTCTTACAGCGGTTTTGTTAACTTTCGCCTTTATGGTTGTAGCATCATTCTCTTAGGAACTGAGAATTGCCGATAAAGCAAGGAGACAGTCGTCTATGAAATTTGGTAGTTGATGTTCAAATCCCTTGCTGCCCTTACAGCACAGATTGTATCCAAATGATGAGATATCCTATGAAGTCCCACACCCCTTGGGAATGCAATTGTTGTTTCATTTTACTTTTTATTTTTGTTACTTTTGTGCTGTTTCTCGAATATGCCTCAAATCGTGTGCTCGAGACAAACGGGCAATGCCACGTTTCGTTAACCTAAAGAGAGCATTGGTTACCGAAGGTTGCACATCGGTGTGTCACTGAACACTCCTGTTGCCCATTCCAGATTTTTGAGAAGTACCCTACCACCATCAAGAACTACGGTATTTGGGTGAGGTATCAAAGTCGTACCGGATACCACAACATGTACAAGGAATACCGTGATCTTACACTTAATGGAGCAGTTGAGCAGATGTACGACGAGATGGCTTCACGTCACAGAGTGCGCTCCCCTTGCATCCAGATCATCAAGACAGCCACTATTCCAGTAGCTCTGTGCAAGCGTGTGAACACCAAGCAGTTCCATAACTCGAAGATCAAGTTCCCTCTGACCAGCCGCAAGATCCGGCCACCAAGCAGGAGTTTGAAGACCACTTACAAGGCTTCCAGGCCCAACACTTTTGTCTGAACTGTTAATTGTCTTCGTGAATGCATTGGGAATTCAATTCAGTAAAAGCAGGAAAATATTTTCATGACCTAATTGTTTATTTCAGCTCATCAGTTTATGTGATGGAATGGATTCCCAGATGTTTGATGAATGATCTGTTCAATGTAATGATGGCTCTCAATGTGTGCTGATAGAATTATCTCACGATTGAGCCTAAGGATGAAACAGAACTGTCTTTGAGTCATGGGATTATATTCTATTAGTCTGTTAGTCAATTGAGAAGTCTCTCTATCTTACGATATGACAGTCCATGTCTTAGTTGACTGATGCCGGGTTTGGGGGTGATTGGCATTCAATTGTTTCTTAATCTTAATTTCATATTGTTGCACAGTTTTGCATTTTTGTGCTTCCCAATGTACTATCAATTTTTGCCTGCTCATTATTTGGAACAGTTATTGCCTCCCGAGCTCGTTGCAATGGAAACAGTACATAATTTTCACTGATGAGTGTGTCATCACTTCCAGAATCTGTTGGTGATTCATACTTGATTCTTTCCATCCTGTGATTCCAATTGGATGATAAGTTGTGAGTTTGAAATATTGATAAGAGCTTGTTTAAATTTTAAGTGAGTACAGAGTTAGAATTTACAGAAGTTTATGACGTTTTTTGATTCGATGCTTTTAATTAATAATTAGAGTTTCTTCTTGTTAATTAATAACCTTTACTATATATATATATATATATATATATATGCAATAGATGGTATGAATTAATGTAGAGAGACAATTGCATTTGAAAATAATTATAGCTTCTTGAAGTTTGGAAGCATGTTAAATTTTTCAATAAAACATAACTTGTTATTAAATATCATTATTGTAATGATTAAAAATAGTTTCATGAATTCATTTGTTTATTTATAATAGAAGCTATGTTTTATCAATGATCGTCTCATGAATTTAAAAACAAGTAGGAGTAGTAGTGGTTTGAACCAATTCTAGATAAATGGTTCATCCATTTTGGCAAATTTGTCAAACCAATTTATATTAGTTTGCAATGATTTCTATATATAATAGATTGTTAGAATTGTTACATTGCACAATGGTTTTTTCTCATGATTCATGAAAATCTTAAACAAATATTATAAAACAAGGCCCAATATTTGAAGATTGAGCAACTTGGAAATATAGCAAAGAATTCCAAATGTCATCTCAAATTATGATGATTATGTCACGGACACAAAATATAGACTTGAAATCTAACAAGAAGTTCAAGAAGAAGTGGCAGAACTAGATTAAACAGATGAGTACAAAAACAACACCAGAAAGGTGAGCTAAAACTCCAAGAGATGTGTTGTCGAGACTGAAGAACTCTTCAGCCTCGATCCCTATATATACTCCTACTTAGGAAGCTTCTCGAGCTACTTCTATTAACTAGGAAGCTTCTAGAAGGTTCCCGAGGCTTCCTTTCTAGAAGGTTCTAGAAACTTCTAGAGCTACTTCTATTAATTAGGAAGCTTCTAGAAAGTTCCAGGGGATTCCTTTCTAGAAGCTTCTAGAAAGTTCCAGGGGATTCCTTTCTAGAAGCTTCTAGAAACTTCTCTTCTACAAGGTTCCAGAGACTTCCTTTCTAGAAGCTTCTAGAAACTTCTCTCTAAAAGGTTCCAGAGGCTTCTCTTCTAGAAGGTTCTAGAGGCTTGTTTTCTAGAAGGTTCTAGAAACTTCTCTCTAGAAAGTTCTAAGGAATATGTCCTTAACATCACCCCCTCCTTTAGCTTCGAGGTCTCTGAGAAGCAATGTTGTTGATCAGTACCAATGCAAGAAAATGAAGATCTGTCGCATAACTTCTGCTATGAACTCCAACTGTTGTTCACGAGGCAAGTGGTTCATCGACCCTTGAAGCCAACGGTAGTGGCCCACGCCTTCGACTTCTGACCAAGCATGAACTTCCGTGTCCTTATTGTGAAATTGTCCTGCAAACACGCCTTCTGGTTGACCATCGTAAGCAGGCTCGATCTCAAATACGATCACTAGTGATCGGTCACTCGGTATCCTTCGTCGTTGTCGTGGTACATGTAGTTCTTCATCTCGGGGTCGCCTTCGTGAGCTACTCGGTTGCGATACTCTGACTGGCATAGTATCTATCTCTTGGCTATCCATATCAAAAGACCAAACTACGATCTATCTTGGAGAAAATAACTACATCAACTATGAATTTTGCTGGTGCTCTCCCTTTTTCTTATATTGTTGGGAGAACAAGCTTCAGAAAGAAGCTATCATCGAATTGATTTAGGTTTATCGGGATGTCGTTGATGAAACTCCTGTACCTTTTGTGGCGCATTCGCAAGATTTTCAACTGGCTCCCACGTTCGCTCATTAATGTCATAGCCATACCAATGAACAATATATTCTAACTTTCCCCACCTTCGCCGTGAATCCAATACCTTTTCAACCTTGTATTCTTCGTGGTTCTCGATTTCAATACTAGGTGGCGGACATTGCACTCTTCCAGGAAAAGATGACTCTCGATAAGGTTCCAACAGAGAAACATGAAAGACTGGATGTACCTTCATAGAAGCCGGTAACTCCAGCCGGTATGCCACTGGATTAATTTGCTTCTGGATGATAAATGGTCCCAATCTTCGATAGTCCAACTTATCACATGGTCGCTTGGTCTTGATATTTCGTCGAAGAAGCCAGGCTTTGTCTCCAACTTTGAAAGTAGGTGTTGGATTCCGAAATCTATCTGCAGACGTCTTGTAGGATTCTTCAGCGGATTGTAATTGAAGCTTCAACATAGTTTGAAGCTCTGATAGTTGCTTCGCAAATCCTTCAGCTGCTCGATTGTTATTTGTTGACGTACTCAATAAATCAAGCTTCGGATGATACCCATAGTTGGAAAAGAATGGTGTTTGTTGAGTCGACGCATGGAGGGTGTTGTTATATGCAAACTCGGCTAGCGGTAGATATGCAGTCCAATCGTCTTGTTGATAGTTGATGCTGCATCGTAAGTACTGCTCCAAGACTTGGTTCACCCGTTCCGTTTGGCCATCAGTTTGAGGATGAAAAGCTGAAGAAAGCTTGATATCCACCTTCAATATCCCAAAGAGAGATCTCCAAAACTTTGACACGAACTGGGTACCTCGATCTGATATGATATCATCTGGTAGTCCATGATATCGATACACATTATCGAGAAAGAGTCTTGCTGTGACTTCACTGGACGATGTCTTCTTACAAGGAACAAAGTGTGCCATCTTCATAAGCCGATCTACCACGACAAAGATGCTGTCAAATGAGTTTGATGATGGCAAGTCTTTGATGAAGTCCATAGAAATTAAAGACCATGGTCGACGTGGAATTGGCAATGGCTGTAAAAGTCCATAAGGGCGATGCCGAGGATTCTTAGATCTTGAACAGATGTCACAAGAGAGGACAAAATCTTTCACATCCTTCTACATTTGGGGCCACCAAAAATCTCGGGAAATAAGCTCCAAGGTCTTGTTGAATCCAAAATGTCCTGCAGCTGGAAAATCATGGCGAGATTGAAGAACTCGGAGTCGTGCTAGTTCTTTTGGAATGTACAATCGCTCTTCAAAGTATAAAAGATCTCCCTCCACCTTGAACTTGTCATCATTGATACGTTGCTTGATATCAATGGCTACTGAATCTTTAATGGTCATAGCACGTACCTGGTTTAGGAAGTCAGCATCAAATGATACAATAGTAGCACAAAGTTGAAATCTCTCTGGCTTCAATAACGTTGTACATTGTTGATCAAACGCTGCTTCTCCAGCCTTTGGTGCAAGATACGATCTCCTTGATAAAGCATCGGATAGTCCTTGCTGCCTTCCAGGTCGATAAGTGATAACGAAATCGAATCTAGATAGCGACATATTCCACCGAGCTTGACGCCGATTTAAAACTCGAGCCGTCATGAAATACTCCAAATTCTTGTGATCCGTATATACGGTTACTGGATGTGCAGCTCCTTCAAGAAAGTGACGCCATTCTTCGAAAGAATCCACTATAGCAAGAAGTTCCTTATCGTGGATCTCATAATTGATTTCAGCAGTAGAGAACTTCCGAGAATAGAATGCAACTGGATGGAGCTTCTTATCTTCACTCATTTGTGAAAGCACAGCTCCCAAAGCAAAATCTGAAGTATCAATTTCTAAATAGAAGGCCTTTGTAAAGTCTGGATGTACCAAAATTGGAGCTGTAGTAAATGCTGTCTTCAAATCTTGAAACGCCTTCTCCGCCAAAGGTCCCCATTCCAACTTATCCTTGCATGTTAATCGAGTGAGAGGAGCAGCAACTTGAGAATAATTCTTGATGAAGATCCGATAGAAGTTAGCAAAACCAAGAAAGCATTGTACGTCTCTAACCGTCTTCGGAACCTCCCAAGACATGATTGCTTCTACTTTCTTGGGGTCCATCTTCAAACCTTCTGTAGTCACAATGAACCCCAAAAATTCCATCTCCGTCTGGTGAAATAAACACTTTTCTAATTTGGCATATAGTCCTCGCTTGCGTAGTTTCTCCAAGACCAAACGAACATGCTCCTCATGCTCTTCCTCGTTTTTAGAGAATATTAGAATATCGTCCAAGTAGATGACAACAAAATCATCGAGGTGTTCTCGAAAGATGTCATTCATCATATGTTGGAAAACCGCTGGAGCATTGGTAAGACCAAAAGGCATGACATTATATTCGAAATGACCATACCTTGTAAGGAATGCTGTCTTCCACTCATCTCCTTCCTTGATTCGTACGAGATTATAAGCTCTCCTTAGATCAATTTTTGTAAAGATCTTCGCACGTCGAAGTTGTTCTAAGAGACTAGAAATCAAGGGTAATGGGTAACAATTTTTCTTTGTTACCTTGTTGAGGCCTCGATAGTCCACACACATCCGTAATGATCCATCTTTCTTCTTCACAAATAAGATGGGTGCTCCAACTGATGATTTTGAATGACGAATGAAGTTCTTGGCTAGATTCTCGTCGATGTACTTTCGTAACTCTGCCAACTCCGTTTGCGATAGATTGTAGATTGGACCAAAAGGTGGTTGTGCTCCTTCTTGCAAGTCTATGGCACAATCATATGGTCGGTGTTCCGGTAGTATG